ATCTTTCAATCATGATTCGTTTTCCTTTTTTATAGCTTCTTGTTTATTTCTGTGGAAGAGGGAAAAACTGCGGGTGGGGGGAATGAATCTTTTTTTTTTTAATCTCCATTTGTCCTAGCTCAGTCAAGTTACATTTTCCCCCCAAATAGCAAGATGGACAGGGAAGGACGGTGATTGTGTGTTTACTTTCCTAATCCCCCTCCCTTCCCCACCCCTGAGGGAATGCGTGCACGCCAATGTCGATATTTCATGAATCACGTAAGAATCCCCACCTCCCCCCTCCACCTTCAATCTTCCCTCTCCCCATAGTCTTTAGCACCCCTCTCCCCCCCCCTCCCCCGAGGACTACCTTTTTCTCTTTCTTTCAACCTTTCGGTCTTTCATACTGCATTCCACCTTGAGCCGGCTCTTAGTCTACTCTGAACCTGTGTTCATTATTTTCTCCTGTAAGGTTTCGCCTAATTATGCCTGCTGTCATGAACTTTTTTTTTTCTTCCTTTTTTTTTACTAGCCTGCTCCAAACTAGCGGTGATTCCTCATTCCTCACTAAAAGAGGTAGAATAAACAAGAGAATAGCGCACTGGAGGCGAAAAGAATACTGTAAGAAAAAAAAGCGCCGTCGCCCCGTCTCCTTGGCGCATTCACGAGGCTATTTATAAGGTCGTGAAATGGAAAACAAACGGGAGTGGGGTGCGCGCGCTCTCAGCCACTCTGTTAAGATTCATTTACACACAGAAAAAAAAAATGCGAAGACAACTGACATCAAGCCCCTGTACATTTATTCCAATCCAGTTCCTGTACCTACAAGCTTCTTCGTCCAGCGCGGGAAAAGATGTGTGTCTGCTGCTTCTTCCCTGCGGAACCCCGCCGGTTTTTTCTTTGCTGTTCCCTCCCAGTTACACATTTCTATTTTTCGCTCTTCGACCTGCCTTTAGGGAAGCAAAACTCATAAAGAATGTTATTCGATCTTCAGTTGTAAAAGGCGTCCGGCTCTAATGGTTTTTTCTTCTTTTGTCTTTTGTTTATTGTTGTTTGTTGTTGGGTGGTTGTTTTGTTTTTTGGGGGGTGGCGGGGGTGGGGTGAGATAGCAATCTTCCAGCCTCTGAAATGGCTTGTGGGTAACTGTTTTCTTGAACCTTGGAATTGAATATTGGCTCTAAACAAAATGAGCGACACTCCAATTGCAAGCTCGCCATTATCTTAGTTTGTGATTGTCATACTGGACTTTGGTAGGGATGATTCAGGTTGGAATCTGCAAAGTAATGTTTTAATAACAGCTTTATTTATTTATTTATTTATTTATTT